ATTAAAAAGTTAATATATATGTGTCTGTGTATTTGTATGTATATATAAATCTTATATATTATATATAATGTTATATTATGTGTTTATTATATTATATATTTATATATTATAATCTATAAAATATAAATATAAATATAATATATTATGATATTATAATTATATTTATTATATATGATTATATTTATATATTATATATAACTTTATATATTATATATAATTCTATAATATAACTTTATGTATTATATATAATATATAATTATATATATTATATATATATAAAATCTTTTTCAAAAAAGGAGTGCAGCATGATGGCTCAGTTGGCTAATCCTTGCCTTGCAAGCTCCAGGATCCACATAGGCACTGGTTAATGTCCTAGCTGCCCCACTTCCCATCCAGCTCCCTGCTTATGGCCTGGGAAAGCAGTAGAGGATGGCCCAAGGCTTTGGGCCCCTGTGCCCACATGGAGACCCAAAGGAAACTTCTGGCTGCTGGCTTCAGATTGGCTCAGTTCCGGCTACTGCAGCCTCTGGGGAGTAAACCAGCAAAAGAAGATCTTTCTCTCTGTCTCTCCTTCTCTCTGTAAATCTGCCTTTCCAATAAGTAAAATTAATATATATATACATACACACACATTTACTTCAGTTATTTGAAAAATTGTGGAGAGTCAGAGATCTTCCATTCACTGGTTTACTGCACAAATGGCCGCAATGGCCACAGCTGGGCCTGGTTGAAACCAGGAATCAGGTTTTTCATCGGGACTTCCTGTATGCTGAGAGGGACCCAAGCACTTGGGCTGTCCTCGGCAGCTTTCCCATTAGTGGGGAGCTGGATGGGAAGTGGGGCTGTGGGACACAGCTTGCCTCATCCATCACAATGCTTACCCTGTCTTTGCTTTCATTGTCCCTATGTTGTGTATATTGAAGTGAGTGTCTTGTAGACAGCACAAACTTGGTTATATTTTTATATTTGGTCTACTGATTTTAGTTATTTGTATATTCAGTTTACACTTAATGTGAGTATTGATATAGTGGGACTTGGGTTTATCATTTTGCTGTGTTTTTTTGGTTTGTCTTTTTGCTCTGTTTCATATTTCTAATTTCTCTTTCTGTCTGCTTGTGAGTTCTTTGACCACTTCATAGAGGAGGTTTACTGTGGGAATCCTGGATATCTTTGGTTCGAGATGTCTTTCCAGAGTGATCTGCGTTTATGTCATCCCTGCATCCCAGTAGTAGCATTTCCTAGAGCCATTTTCATTGCTGTTTCTTCAGTTGAGGTTCATGGTTCACATGGTTGTTTAAATTTGAGCGCTGGGCCCAGTTGTGGGCCTTGTGGCTATAGTCTTCCCCTTGAACGCACCAGGATCCCATACGGGCACCAGTTCTAATCCCGGCAGCTCCACTTCCCATCCAGCTCCCCGCTTGTGGCCTGGGAAAGCAGTCGAGGACGGCCCAAAGCTTTGGGACCCTGTACCCGCGTGGGAGACTTGGAAGAAGTTCCTGGCTCCTGGCTTCGGATTGGTGCAGCACCGGCCATTGCAGTCACTTGGGGAGTGAATCATCGGACGGAAGATCTTCCTCTCTGTCTCTCCTCCTCTGTATATCTGACTTTGCAATAAAAATAAACAAATATTTTTAAAAATTAAATAATAAATAAATTCGAGTGCCAAGTTCACCCATGATACCAACTCATCATGAACTTTCTTTTTTTCTTTTTTAAAGATTGATTTATTTTTATTACAAAGTCAGATATACAGAGAGGAGGAGAGACAGAGAGGAAGATCATCTGTGCGATGATTCACACCCCAAGTGACCGCAACAGTTGATGCTGTGCTGATCTGACACCAGGATCCAGGAACTTCCTTCAGGTCTCCCATGTGAGTACAGGGTCCCAAAGCTTTGGGCCGTCCTCGACTGCTTTCCTAGGCCACAAGCAGGGAGCTGGATGGGAAGTAGAACAGCTGGAACATGAACCAAAGCCTATATGGGATGCCAGTGGTTGCAAGACAAAGACTTTAGGCACTAGGCCACAGCACTGGGCCCTCTCATCATGAACTTTCAAGGGGAAGCCCACATGTGTGCAATTGGAAACGGAAGACCTTCCACCCAGAATCCTAGCTTTTTTTTTTTTTTCAGTTTTTCAGTCCCAAACATCAAGAAATTTTTCTTCCTTAAATGTTTAGCTGTGCATTTTTACAAATATGATATATTTTTTGTAACAGTTCTAGGAAAAGATTTTTGAACACAAAGGTTTCTTGTATATAAAGTCTTACTTTCTTGAGCTTCAAGACTCAGAATGAGTATTTGTTGGAGGAATTAGACATATGAAAACTGCACTATCATTTGTCTTTTATCCTGCAAGGTGCAGTCCAAGTGATGTTACTCTTTGGCCACCTGAGGCTACAGTGCAAGCTGGATAGCAGTTACTTTAGTAGGGCACATTTAAGCAAAGCTGCCATAGCAAGAGATGGTGGTGCATCAGCATTAAATTGATGTCTGCGCTCGGCTGTGTGAAAGTTAGGTCCTGGATGGCGTGGGCTTGGAAAACATTCCTCTGTGTACCTCGTATAAAAGCATCGAATCCTTTTTTTTTTTTAATTTTGATTTTCTTTTTAATATTGTTTGCATAGTTGGGAGAGCCTCTGATAAGGGAGGGAAGGTCCAGGTTCAGGATGATGGTGTATGGGACAAATGTTCCAGTTTTGTTGCTGTTTTCTTTTCTCCTGTGTCCACAGGGGAGGAAGGAGGCGGCAGGGGCGGGGCGCTACTGCTTGGTGTCAAACTACCTCAGTAGCTGGGGATGGGAGACAGTCACTTGGTGATGCTTTAGAGTCCCTGATGAGGAGAAGAGTCTTCTGAAGGCGTTGCCTGAGTGGTTTTGATAGTTCTGAGAAGTTGTTGGTTTCATTACTCCAGGGCTGGGACAATCTTTCCAAGGTCTACTAGTTGACAAAGTCCGCTTTAATGCATCCACAGACCCAGGAACATGCTGTAAAGCTTAACCAGGAGAACTGTCCAATCTGTTCTGCTTTCCGACAAGGCAGTTGACATCCGCCGCTGGTCTAGATGAGCTGGCTGTCATGTACCAGTGTGCAAGAAGCATTGAATCTTGATGTTATTTATAACCTTTCTGCCCAAGACATCGCTGCCTGCATATTATTGCCAGCCTCTCCACCTGGTTCTCTTGTCTTCTGTTTATAATTTATATAGTATATTGAAATTTATTTTTTTTAAATAGAGGCAAATATTGAACAGGATTGAAAAATTCTAATCTTTTTAGTCTGGGCAATCTTATATCTTCAGTTTCTTGGTTTGTGAAAGCTATTCAGTGAAATGCATATTCACTTTATTTTTGTGCGATTTGTGTATTATAAAATATGTATATCAAACTATGTTTTATCTGTACTTTTCCCACTATTAGATACATTCACACTATTGTACATAATGAACAACACGCTGCGTCTCTGTAACTTTTTCATCTTTCCAAGCTGTCACCCTTGCCTATGAAGTGTTTCTTTGCTACCCTCCTCCCTTGTTCCTAGCAGGTATCATTTCACTTTTTGCCTGTTTAAATTTAACCACTAGACAAACTTTATGTAAGTGGAATTATACAATATTTGTCCTTTTGTAATTGGGTTATAATTCAAAAGAATACATTAGGAGTTCATCCAGAATGTCCTTCTTTCAAAGTGGCTGAATACGTAGCTCTTAGAACACATGACTGAACTAGGCCAGACCAAGCAATGAAACAGACTGCTTGACCTTATTGGGGAAGGTAGCCAGGAAGGGAGAGTGCTTGGTCTGATCTGGCAAAGGAACGTAGAGGTAACACTTTGAGAGGTGCTGGTGATGAAGTGAGTCAGGCATTGGATTGGAGAGGAAGAGGGTTGGACTCGGCACTGTAGTGGAAGGGTGAGGGAGTTGATGTTGAACTGCCTCTCAGGTCCTGCTCTGCTCAGCCAAGCACAGTTAAAGCTGTCTGTTTACCACCAAAAGCAAAGTGAATCATCACCGGGGACATATGGGCTGCCGCGTTGCTTCGTCATGCTAATTAGCAAACTCAGTTTAGGGAATCCTTTATTTCCGGTCATGGAAAATATTGTCTCAGATTAAAAGTGCTTGCATGCATAAAGAAGAATGGAGAATTTTTCCTCTGTATTGAATCAAACAAAGTTGAAATGCTGACCCAAGCTTGGCTTAAGTTTTTTTTCTTCCCACTGGTTGTGGAAGAAGGACTAGAAAGAAAATTACACACACATATATGTAAGTACAGGTGAAACTGACATCTCTTTTCCTCTTCCTCCTCCTCCTCCTTTTCTTCTTCTTCTTCAAGAGACAGACAGACGGACACAGAGAGAGCTCCCATCACTTCCCAAATGCAAACCCAAGGCCAATATTGGAGCCAAGAACTCAATCCAGGTCTCCCAGATGGGTGGCAGGACCAGTTACTTCAACTGTCACCTGCTGCCTCTGAGGCTCTACATTGTCAGGAAGCTGGGAGTCTGAGCTGGGTCTTACATCCGTGTACCCCAATGTGGAATGCAGGCATCTACACTGGAAATTTAGCCTCTGGGCGAAATGATTTCTCCCTTCCCTTTTCCTTAAACAACAAAAAAAAAACTAGTCTTTTCAGTATGTGCCTGGCTTATCTTTTGTACGAATTTCACTTGAAAATTTTGGGCTGTTTTTGCTTGTAGCTGAATATGCCTATTATTGTGTGTAATGGCTAACAAAGGGACAGTTTTATTCATTACAAGAGTAGTTTTCAATTTTTCAGCTTCAAAACTTGTCCCAGGAGCATAGTTTGGAAAACCACTGACTAACAATAAGCAAAACATCAACATCAAAAATGCTTAAATAAATGTGAGAAGGTAAGTCAGCATGTTTACAAGCTTTTGAGTTATCTCCTACTTATTAACAGTTAAGATGTAATGATCATAGTTTAAGAATAAATTCATAACATCCACTTTGAAGTTATTTTTCACATTCTCTTTTGCCTTTCAGATTTTTTGTTCAAGTTCTTGGTTATTGGAAATGCAGGAACTGGCAAATCTTGCTTACTTCATCAGTTTATTGAAAAAAAATGTAAGTGCTATCACACAGTCGTTCCTCTGCCCATGTCTTGCGAGAATGCCTCTCAGACTTGTTTACAGGAAAGAAATGTCGCTGTTTAAAACTACTTGTAAATAATGTCAGAGAAGAATGCGATCCTAGCAGTTTATTTCATCAACCAAGAACTTCTTGGTACCGCTGTTGGATGACGTGGACCCACAACGTATTAGTTCCTTACAAGTTGCCAAGACTTTGCGTTATACCAATCCTGAAAAGAATACCCAGCGGAGATTAGGTCAGAAACCCAACCGAGGAAGTCATTGTCTCCTCATCAGACTTTTCGAGAGAAGTGGCCTCCCTCAGTCCTCACAACACCTCGAGGCACTGAAAGGCTGCACTTTATTTCTCTGTGGCCATGCTATAATCAGGCCACCCTGGTCTGTAGGTATCACCTCTTAAAGACTTTTTTTAAAAATAAGATTTATGTGTTTTTATTGGAAAGGCAGATTTACTGAGAAAATGAGAGCAGAGAGAAAGATCTTCCACCATCTGCTGGTTTATCCTCCAAATGGCCATAACGGCTGGAGCTAAGCTGATCTGAAACCAGGAGCCAGGGGCTTCCTCTAAGTCTCCTAGGTGGATGAAGGATCCCAAGGCTTTGGGCCATCCTCCACTGCTTTCCCAGGCCATAAGCAGGGAGCTGGAAGGGAAGTGGAGCAACCAGAACACAAACCAGTGGCGATGTGGAATCCTGACGCCTGGGGTGGATTAACCTGTTGAGCTATTGTGTAGGTTTCTCTTGAAGACTTTTGCCCCAAGTTTTGCCTGTTGTCTTTCAGTAGTGGAATTCCCATATGAGATCTCCACCATCTGTGTGTGGGACAGACTGGCAGTCCATTTGCCATTGCATCGCCCATGCCTTAGGAGCGCCATTGCCGGATGGCAGCCCTGACTCCAGAAGCAGTTATTTTGTGCTTATGGACCAGCTAGTCCATAGCCATACTTCTAGTTCAGTTGACCTTTCATCGCCACAGGAATGTTTCACGGTGGATTCCATCTGGGTTGAACAGTACCTACTTGCACATCCCCCTTCCATCCAAGCCGATGGAGCTGATTACAGAGCACTGCCATACAACACTAAAATCCATGGCCACTCAATACCTGTAAGATGCGCAGGCTTTGGGTTTGGGGGCCTTGGGACTTCCTTGTTTCCCTCCTTTTCTCAGTCTTGGTGTCTGTGGTATTTCCTTTGTTGTAGGATATAGTGCTTTTCCCCCCTTTATGCTATTTTGTTTCTTTGGAGTATTCATCTGTTCAAGTTGTTGTCCCTGTCATCGTCCCATTATTTAATAGCTGCCTGCCTGTTGGTGGGCGTTAAGGTCCTGCTGAGCAGACATCTGAATTTAGGCAATTGGTGAATTCTCTATCAGGAGATAGCTGGTTAATGTGCAGACATAGCCAGGCCACCTCCAAACCTAGGCTTTGAGATGTGTAATTTATTTGGAGATGCTAAGAAAAAGCCCTGTTGCCGCTGTGAGATTAGGCAGTGCGTGTGCTCTTGAAAACAGGAATGCTACGTATCAGCAGGCGGTTGGAGAAATGAGTGGCTACTGCCATTACTTTTCCGCTTATGTTTCCATTGATTTTAGTGTTACTAATTTAAATCTTTAAGCCTGTTATATTAATGCTTTAAAACTAAATCTGTTGGGTTTTTTTCTTTTTTAGTTAAAGATGATTCAAATCATACAATAGGAGTAGAATTCGGTTCAAAGATAATTAATGTTGGTGGCAAATATGTAAAGTTACAGATATGGGATACAGCAGGACAAGAACGATTCAGGTAGGTTTTTCTCTAATAAAATGTTTGAGAAGTTCAATTTTAAATTACTAATTGTCTTCAACAGATGTAGTCTCACGCCACTAACGCCCTCCTCCCCTGCATCCCCCTCCCCCCCACACACACAGAACACACACCTACACACTGACATCAGAGACTTCTCAGAGCTCTCAGGGATAAGGCAGCCAGCTGAGCTCCACGCAGCACTGATCTAATAAACTACAGTATGATCTCAGAGTGACTGTGTCATTATTCAGAGACAAACTCAGGCATGGGAAGATGCAGCACTGTGAAAGGTACTGAATGCTTTTAGATAAAAATAAAAGTAATCGTATTAGCTATTTGTCTATATTCCCCTTTTTAAAAAAGATTTATTTATTTTTATTGGAAAGGCAGATGTACAGAGAGAAGGAAAGACAGAAAGATCTTTCGTCCACTGGTTCACCTTCCCAAGTGGCTACAACTGCCAGAGCTGAGCCAATCCGAATCCAGGAGCCAGGAGCTTCTTCCAGATCTCCCACATGGGTACAAGGTCTCAAAGCTTTGGGCCGCCTTCTACTGCTTTTCCAGGCCACAAGCAGGGAGCTGGCAGGGAAGTGGATCAGCTAGGAGACACACTGGTGCCCATATGGGATGCCAGCGGTTGCAAGGCAAAAAAGACCTTAGCCACTAGGCTACCACACAAGACCCTATATTATCCCCAACCGCCTTTTTTTTTTTTAAAGTTTTATTTATTTTATCTAAAAGAATTATAGAAAGAGGGACAGAGATCTTCCATCTGATCGTTCAGTTCTATAGCCAGAGTGTGGCCAGTCCAAAACCTGGAGTCAGGAGCTCCTTCCAGGTCTCCCATGTGGGCGCAGGGTCCCAAGGCTTTGGGCCATCCTCTGCTGGTTTCCTAGGCCTACAAGCGGGGAACTAGATTGGAGCAGCTGGAACACAAGACCAGTGCCCATATGGAATGCCAGTGCCACAGGTAGAGTACAGAGTATTAGCTTGCTACATTACCATGCCAATCCCTTGCATTCCCTCTTAAAGAATTCTTTTAAAACCTCTGAGAGTTTTGTTTATTTGCTCATTACCTAGACTTGTTCTAGAGGTTGATATCCATTCCACTAAAACGCTTTGCTCCGTACTTTTGCTATACTATGGTCGTAATATGTATCTAGAACGGTGACTTCAGATCACTGCAGCTTACTCTTCTGCAACTAATAAACCAGATAAATCAGCTCACCTTTGGCCTGTGTCTTTTGCAACAGATACCCGAGAAAAGGCAGAAAAGTTACCATAGTTTCATGATTCAGGGAAGTCAAACTCACCCCCACTGCAAACGTTTCACTTAATTAAAGTTGTACATAAAATGCTCAAGTTGTCTCAAAAAAAAAAATAGTGCAACCATCTTTCGTCACCAGCATTCTTTAGGAAGCACTGATTAAATATGGTAGATTAATTTTGATCGTCCCCTTCTCAGAACCCCATTTGCATGATTGAGCCCCAGAAAAGGTGGGAAGTGGAGTGTCAAGTTCCAAAAGGAATAAATTGAATTGTTTATGCACACACAAATTGGAAGACTCAGTCTGTAGCTTCACACAGGGCCTCAGCTTGTCTCCTAGGCCAGCAGGGGCATTTGGCTCCTCTAATATCTAGGGACAAATTCACCCTCAAAAAAGTGTAGTTTTTTCAAGAGATGCAAGTCCTTTTCATCTTCTTATCAAATGTGAAAGCAAGTGAAGCTAAGGCAGATCCTGAATCAATTGGCTTATTACTAGACATACAATTGCAAAATAAGCAGAAAGAATGCGTGAAAAGATGGGAGAAAGATGCATCCTCAGAGGAAATGTTCCAAAGGATCTGGGAAAATACACTCCTTTGAGGTGACCGTGGACAGGTTACAGATACTGTCCACCTGCCAGCACCCAAGTCAAGGGCTTTTCCCTCTAGCAGAGCCTCTGGCAGCTGAGGCCCGTCTGCTTGAGCTGAGCTCTCCCAGACAAGTGCAGGAGTCGCAGGGAGCAGTTAACAGCTTGAATGCACACAAATCCATTGCTCCAGAGGTGGTTTGGTTTGTTTAGCATCCAGATATCAACCTTGGAAGAAGCAGACCCAACCCACTCTAGCTCCTTTGCATGTGAGCACATAGTTGACATGTGGCTCTCACTGAATATGTGTGTGTGTGTGTGATGCTGATGGAGAGAGATCCTCACGGTCCAAGTCAGGTGTGAGCGACAGGGCTTAGCTGACAGCCAGGTGTGCAGGGGGACACAGGAGTGGAGGTCAGATAGGCGTGGGATGGTTTGTTTTAGATCCTGGATGGGTAGTGCTGCCCCTTCCCAGGCCAAGGCCCAAGGGGATGAGAAAGTTCTGTGTCACAGACAGGAAGCCTGACATGCTTGTTAGGCTGTCTTATGCAGATGCTAGAGCTATGGCTGCCATCTTCCAGAAGTAGTCTGAGTTACAAAGCAAGTTTCACTGGAATGTTAGCAGACAAGGAAACCTAGGCTCCAGCCAGCCCTGTATCCAGAGCTGGAGAAATGGCAGTGAAAGGGAAGGAAGATGGAAGAGGTCCAACTGCAGATCCTGTGTGAACTGGAGCCCAAGGTAGGGCTGAGAGCACAGAGAGGCCCCCTCGCCCCTGCTACACGGAGGCTGGGCATCTGGCTGGGCTGTTGAGGTTGGGGTGACAGAAAGGCAGCAGGAGAGAAAATTTGAGAAACCTGGGCATGGGGAAAAGTAAATCTTGAACGCCAAGAGCTTGGAGAATTGTGTGGCTGTTTTGCCTTCATTTTGAGAAGGGAATCGCCAGAGCTGGTCTTATTTCGCTGGCGGAGAAAAACCTAGCAAAGAGGAAGAGGCCGAGGCGCATAGGTGCTTAGCTGAGGCAGGCATCCCTTGAAGTAATGACGAGGGGAACGCAGGTGAGTGCAGGGCGGTGGGGACCACATGTCTGGTTCTCCTCTGAGCACTTGACTTCTCTGTGCTCACCCAGGGGCAGGAACACCACCTTCCACCTGCTGGCACCTCCTCTCTACCTCGTCCTCGCCTGACACCCACACCTCTTGTCCTTTCTGTGACAGGATTTTAGGCAGACCAACTCCTCCCACCCAGATGCAGGCCTCTCCGAAGTTTCTCTTGTCAAGCAGCGACCATCCCTGTCTCGTGGTTTAGATGTTTTTTCCATGGGAGAACCTCCACTGCTTCCATTTGAAGCCCTTGTCATTCTCATTCTTCCAGGTCTGTGACCAGAAGCTATTACAGAGGTGCAGCCGGGGCCCTGCTTGTCTATGACATCACCAGGTAATGAATGCCACCAGCCATCCCAGAGGAGGCCACACAGTGCCCTGCATCCCGAAGGCCGGATCTGGCAAGGTGCCCTCCACACAGTGTGTCCGTGCTTTGTGTGTCTGGGGGGGCACGTAGTTTCGCTGGCCTCCAGGAAGCTCCTGAGCCCATCCATGTGGGGTCTTGGAGGCCTCTGACCCTGACCCTCCCATTACTTTGCCAGGCGCTTGGTAGGGAGAGCTATTCTTTCTGTTAGATGGTCTCGGCGGTCCCTGTAATGGGAACTGGAACTTGAGGTGTGACATCCGCGCCGAGAAGAATTTGGGACACATGGGATGCAAAGACAAGATGAACCAATGCACACGTGATTGAATTTTATTGGGCAATTTATACCATAAATCTTGCAGGGCAAGCAGGCGAATAAAGGTTACTAGCTAACTACACAATAGCATACAAGCAGCTCCTAACAGTAGATCACAAGGGATCTAGAAAACCATCACCAGGTCTCAGGCAACAGGATAAATAAACATGGGTTACAGGAACCAATACCAGTAAACAGACAGATCTAACTAGAAAAGGAATCTAACAGAACTTTGTACTCAGATGCGTTCAGGCCCCAAGCACTAAAGGAAGGGGAAGATGATAGCATGCCTCACACCTCTCCAGGCACGCTCTGTCGGCAACGTGGCCCGCAGTCTCAGCAGAAAGTCCGCCTTCTGCAAAATGCTCAGTCTAGCAAGAACAGCTGAGATTCGGGGTCCTCAGACATTTGGTGGTCTGGCTTCTTGGGGGAGCAGTCCTCTAACAGCATGGTGCTCCAGGCCTTGATGCCAGGACCCTTGCCTCCAGGTCCACTAGAGCTGTCTGTATGCCAGGTCACTAAAAGTGAGCCGACAGGTAAAGGATGCGGACTTGGGTTGAGATTGCCTCAGCCCAGATCCCAGTTCCAGTCACTAGCTGTGTGAAGCTCACAGTCAAGGTGCTTTAGCTCTCTGGACTTTAGTTTCCTCATGTGTAAAATGAAATAGTAAGGGGAAGAAAAAACCCTGAGGTTTGGGGAAGATTTAAATTAGGGTAATATAAAGGACTTAACATGGAAGCTACTAGCCACATTGCATAATTCAGTTGAAACAAAACGTGTGACACTGGCCACCTGCTGTGGGCTCAGAAGTCAATGTGTGTCTGTACCCCCTGAGACCACGTTTGTCCTTGAAGAAATCCCATCCCACAACACTGGTCTCGGCGTTTTAAAATATTGTCTTAGAAACACATGTCGTCTGGATGCTGTCGTATGGGGAAACCTGTCGGGTGAGATCGTGTCACCCAGCTGCCTCTTCTAGCCTGTGGAACTGGAGCTGCGTGTTCGGAGGGAGGCGGGCAGCTCTGGCACAGTGATCACTCCACTTGCCCAGCTGGGGCTTGTGAATGGGCGGTGTCAGTGGGAATGAAAGCAGCATTGGAGGACGTCTGTCTCTAGATATGTGAGGGTTGGAAACAGCATGTCTGAGGAATTAGTCCAGTCCTGCTTATGTGGTCAGTCATGGCCATGGCACTGCCTGCTGTGTGATTTTGGACAGCCCTAATGGTTCTCAAGCTCCAGGTTTCTTGTGTCCATGGGAGACAATGTGATAAATCTCTCATAAGACAAGAGGCCACACCCAGAGCAATGGTCTAGTGGTTAAATCCTTACCTTGCAAATGCCAGGATCCTACATGGGCACCAGTTTGTGACCCAGATGCTCTACTTCCCATCCAGCTCCCTGCCTGTGGCCTGGGAAAGCAGTAGAGGATAGTCCAAAGCCTTGAGACCCTGCACCCACATGGGAGACCCAGAAGAAGCTCCTGGATCCTGGCTTCGGATCAGCTCGCCTGCAGGCTTTGTGGCCACATGGGGAGTGAACCAGCAGACAGAAGATCATTCTATCTCTCCTTCTCTCTGTAAATCTGACTTTCCAGAATAAATAAATAAATAAATCTTTAAAAAAAAAAAAAAGCAGGAACCTTGCCAGGATATATTAAATGGCCGTAGTGAGCTGTGATTAAACTTTTTTTTTAAGATTTACTTATTAGATAAGCAGAGTTTCAGTAAGAGAAGAGGAAGAAAGACAGCGAAATTTGTCTCTTGCTTACTCCCAAAATAGACTTAATAGCCAGAGCTGGGCCAGTCCAAAGCCAGAGCCCAAGCTCTTCCAGATCTCCCACATGAGAGCAAGACCCCAAATTCTTGGGCCTTGTTCTGCTGCTTTTCCAAGCACATAGGCAGTGAGCTGGATTGGCAGTGGACACCACAAGCAGTGGCTCTCTCTCCATGCTGTGTAGCATCACTGGCCCCGGTGATTAAATCTTACTTCCCAGAGCCAAGAACAATGCCTTGCATGTGCCAAGTGCTCAGAGGATATCTGGAAAGCAAAAGGGGCTGCCTGTCCCATGCACAGGCTGGTTGGGCAAACAAAACAACCAGATACCTAATTTGCCATCTCATTTTCTGAGACCAAAACCAAATGGAGACAGTACAGACTTGGTGCCTTCATGTTGTCCGAGTTACCTTAAAGATCTGTTGCCAGTTCTCTGATATTTTGGGAAGTAGTGTGAGTGGTGAGAGTGACTGGAAAGAGTTGCTAGTTTTATAAAATGCTTGTATTATTCTCACAATCTTATATTATGCAGCCGAGAAACCTACAATGCGCTTACTAATTGGTTAACAGATGCCAGAATGCTAGCGAGTCAGAGCATTGTGATCATCCTGTGCGGAAACAAGAAGGACCTGGACGCCGACCGCGAGGTCACCTTCCTGGAAGCCTCCAGGTTCGCCCAGGAGAACGGCAAGTGACCTCTCCCGCCCCCTGCTTTGCAAAAGGCAGACTCTTGGGAGTCTGAGACATCTGTCAAAGTTCCCAAAGTTAGATATTTAGGAAGTGTAGATGCTCCAGATGTTTTTACTACAGTTTTATATTGAGTTCTCATATTTTCCGTGGGTCGCCCTCAGTATAGACGTTACTCTCATGTAAAAGCAAATGGCCAACATTCTGTAATGAATTTTCAGGCTAGGACATTTAACTGTTAGAGGTCACAGGCTTTTAAAGGACCTAATTAGATTATGGCACTTTTTTTTTAAGCATATCTTGCTAAATTGATAAAGTGCTAAGTACTAAATAGAAAGGGAAAGAGAAGAAATACGTGGCTTATTGGTTTCACTTGTGCTCAGTTTAAGTCATTTGGTTATAGGTGACTTTGAAACTCTGAATTTCCATAGGGAGTATTTGAGAAAGTCACATAAAAATAACAGCTGCTTATGGATAACAGAATGGTGAAATTCAAACAGTTGAAATAACTTTAATTTTTGGAACCAGTCAAGTACTAGAGTATTCTGATAGTGATATTCAAGTGGACCCCAGAACCACCAAGTTATACTCTCTCCTGCTAAGAAAATAACCCTGAGTTTGTAAAGAAAGTCCCTAGAAATACAGAAGCTTAGAACATGAAAATCCCAAGGCTTTTAAATATCGTGGAAAATGCACTCACTCTGGCTGGCCAAGGCCCAAGAGGCTGGAGGTATGTGGTCCCCCTGAGCCAGGCAGCAGAGCAGGATTCTGTGCTGGGAAGGGTGCAGTCACCCCTGGGAGCTCTTCCCCAGATGCAGGACAGATGGCAGTGTGGGCCCCTAACAGGCGTGAACTCTGGCAGGCTGGCCAGCATGACTTGGAGAAGGAAGCTGGTCTTCCACCTTCAGTTGGCAGGGGGCCGTTAGGGCCAGTTTGCCTCTCCCTGCTGTGTGCCATCAGATGTGCTTGCTCGTCTTCACCCAAGACAGAGTGAGCACAAGACCAAAAGTTACTTTTCAGAAAAGATCAAACTCTTCATATTTTTAGTTACATTGCATACACTGGTTTTACTTGTACAGAAATACATGATTTTAGTTTGTAACGTATTTTGCCTACTGTTCAAAAGAGACTTTCGGTAACTGGAAATTATGATTGCCTCCTAACTATGGTTTTATGTTTTGTTTGATGTCAATTCCAGAGCTGATGTTTTTGGAAACAAGTGCACTAACAGGGGAGAATGTAGAAGAGGCCTTTGTGCAGTGTGCAAGAAAAATACTTAACAAAATCGAGTCAGGTAAACACCTTTTCCATTAATAAACTGTTTTCTGCATAGTTGAACTCTTTATCTCAATAGTGTCAGCTTTTGAGAATATGGGATCCCAGCACATGCAAGGCAAGGACTTTAGCCACTAGGCTACCACAATGGGCCCTTAAAAATATATTTGTATCCAGTAAATTAACTGATATGTTTTTATTCAAAATGCCTCATTCGCTATAAATTACTTACCCATATTTAAGCATATACTCTAATGAATTTTCTTAAAACTTATGGATGTAGGTAGACACAAATCACAGAATTTTAAGCATTCCACACAAGTTATTGAGGACTTTGCTCTAACATAATAAACTTGTGGGGCGTTTTATGTATGTACTAGATAAATCATTTGTTTTATTGAGTACATATAATTTATATTAATGATATTAAATCATGGGCAATCAGGAATAAGTCTTTGATAGCTTTTTATTTTTTCCGCTAGAACCACAAGGGGGAGCAGTTTAAAAAGTCTGCTTTTTTGCTGTGGTTTGTAGGCTCAGGGTTCAAGCTTTGGTGCCCCATTGCTTTAGACATCTGGGGTGGTGGAGGAATGGTTAGGCACCAGAGAATGGCAGAGGAGCAAAAGCCATCATTGAGTCCATCTTGGGGCACCATCCCAGCAGCCCGATCCAGTCCAGTAGCTCCCCAGAAGCCCTGCCTGCAGACCTTCAATCCACCTTAATCCATTGAAACCATCAACAGAAGACTTTGAGGTTTCAATGTCCGCATAGGCTTGGAGAGCTAAATCCAGTGTAAACTCAGATCCCTGAGCAATACCTTTTTTTTTAAAAAAAAAAGATTCATTTATTTATTTGCTTGCAAGTAGAGTAACAGAGAGATGTTTTCGATTCACTGACTCAATCCCCAAGTGGCAGCCACAACTTCAACTGTACCAGGCCAGAGGCATAAGCCAAAAACTCCATCTCGCTCTCCCACAGTGGTGTCAGGACCCCAAGTACTTGAACCACCTCCCAGGCACGTTAACAGGAAGCTAGATTGCAAGTGGAGCAGCTGGAACTCCCGTATGAGAGGCTGCCATGATAAGCAGCCTTTTAGCATTATGCTGGCCCCAGTCATTCCCTTTTGTTTTAAATGGGTCATCCATATGGTTCAAACACTATTGTTCCCTTTCCCCTTTTCAAAAAACTGTTGCATCCTGTTTTTTCTTTCTTTTTTCCCCTATTTACTTTACCATATCAGTGTATAAACACTTATTTATTTATATTATATATATATATATATGCACAAGCACATCTTGCTTCTCTTTGTATTCATCTTGGGTGTGTACTGTGACCTAATCCATATATAAAATGCCAGACTTTTTAAACATTGTGCCTTTAGGTTGTTCCTAAGATTCTGCTATTATTAACAGTACTACAGTAACAGATCTTGTGCATGAGTGTACAATTTCCAAAAGTGCAGTCAGAAGGCTGTCAGATGGCTTCCTGTCAGAAGGCTTCGTTCAGTAGAGCTATGTCCATGGGGGTGGGGGTGTTATCATACTTACATTTTCAACACCTGTAAAAGTGAAAAATGATATCTCTAGTTTGATATGAATTTTTTAAAGATATATTTATTTGAAAGCCAGAATAATGGAGAGATCTTCCATCCATTGGTTCACACTGGAAATGACTGTAACAGCCAGACTGGTCCAGGCTGAAGCCAGGAGCCCAGAACTCCGTCTGGGCCTCCCATAGGAGTCTCAGGGTCCCTGGTGCATGAGCCGCCCTCTGCTGCCTTCGTACTCTATTAGCAGGAAGCTGTATCCAGAAGCTGAGCAGCTCGGACTCAAACCAATGCCCTGACATGGGACACTGCTATTGTAGGCAGCAGGTTTGCCCACTGCATCAGAACACAGGCCCCTGCATTTTTTGTATGTTTTTACATGTGTATTATGTTCACGTGATTTCAAATTAAGGACAGAAAAGTGCACAGTATAAAGTCACCCTCTGGGGCCCGGCGCGGTGGCGCAAGTGGTTAAAGGTCCTCGCCTAGCACCCCGGGATCCCATATGGGCGCCGGTTCTAATCCCGGCAGCCCCGCTTCCCTTCCAGCTCCCTGCCTGTGGCCTGGGAAAGCAGTCGAGGACTGCCCAAAGCTTTGGGACCCTGCACCCGCGTGGGAGACCCGGAAGAGGCTCCTGGCTTCGGATCGGCATAGCATCGGCCCGTTGCGCTCACTTGGGGAGTGAATCATCGGACGGAAGCTCTTCCTCTCTGTCTCTCCTCTCTCTGTATATCCGCCTTTCCAATGAAAAAATAATAAAAATAAATCTTTAAAAAATAAATAAATAAATAAAGTCACCCTCTGTGTCCATCCTCCCCTGGCCTCTGGCCATCTAGCCCTCCTTCATGGCAGCCACTATTATCAGTTCTTCATCTGTGCTTCTGGAGGTATTTTATCCCCCACTGTGAAACATATACATATATGTTTTCCTCTGAATTCAACACGGTGGCATACAGGAGGCTGCACTGTGCTTTTCCCACTTAATGTATTTGAGGGTCACAGAACTAATGGATTTTTTTCACAGAAGATTTTCTTGGTCCTCAGGTGAGCTTGACCCAGAAAGAATGGGCTCAGGGATTCAGTATGGAGACGCTGCCTTGAGACAGCTGAGGTCACCACGGCGAGCCCAGGCCCCAAGCGCTCAGGAGTGCGGCTGCTAGGAGCCCCAGAGGAGCACACGGTGAGTGTCAGCCCCGGGAAGTGGGAACCGACCTCCCAGGTGTGAGACGGATGTTCTCCCTGGAGGGCCTCACTTCCATGGGAATCCTGCTGCCCTCAGTCACAGCGACAGCACCTGTGAGGAGACATCCTAGGATGAGCTGCAGTCAAATGAATGTGCCTTTTGCCGAAATAGAAGCCTCCTTTATAAAACTGGCTGATGTCCCTACTCCCAAAGCTGCCCCTGTCCACATTTACCACCCCAGACGTTGTGGTTTATAGCCAACATCAGCTGATAGGCTCATCCAAGCATGAAATGAGAAGTAAAGTAATTCCCCCATTGACTTTTGCACTTTAAGCTGTGCTTGTTTTTGCTGTTGCAACAGTAGCACATATTTCTAAGTTGTCCTTCATATCTTTTAGGTGCTCATGCAATGATGCTTGGGACACAGTTGTGGAAGCTTGAAGAATCTGAAGTTGTTGTGTGTGTTTTTTTTTTTCTTTTTGGGTTTTTCTTTTAGCACCATCTCTTTTCTACTCTCTATAGAAGTAGATCTTTGTTGGGGGAAATGATTGATTTGGGGTGTTATGCAAGCTAGTAGACATGGCACAGCAAACTATATAGTAAATATAATTCAGTGGACAGCACCACTAGATGTATACATGTGTAAACATCTGTTCCATGTTTTTCCTTTCCCCTTGGGTTTCAGATGTTCCTCTACTGTATATGCTCTCTCCCAGAACATCCCCACAGCATGTATCTGATGTATGATATGCTAGAATGTTGCACTAAATGCAGTTTATTATTTTTTTTTAATCATGAGAACTAAAATTGTTTCGTTGTGAGGTGTGCTTTTCTCATCATGTGGGTCATTATTGCACAGTTGGTTACACTTACGACCTGGTGTTCAAAGACTGTGGCATTGGTAGTGCGTTTCCTGTTGAATTCTGCTTTCCACATTCTACACTGTGTCTACCTGATCTGCACTTGAAATTCTTGGTCAGTAGTCATGCACTCACATCCTGAAATAAAATGGAACACAGGGATCTTCCATGAACTTGACACTCTCGAGCTCTCTGTTGATTTTAAAGCATCTTATCCAGGGCAGCCCATGAAACACACCTGGAGAACCTGCCCTGGTCCAGGCTGCAGAGTCAGCGTTCAGGATGCTGACCTCCGAGGCACCTAGAGGTACCCTCCACCATGGAGAAAACATAAGCCACCACGTAAGCTAGGCTGCTCGGGTGTTTTCATTGTGCTGGTCTGTGTGGGTCTGCCTTGCCTTCCTGCTAGAAAATACATTATTTGCTACTATGTTTTTTTTTTTTTTCTTGGAATTCAACATAATGGGCATTACTGCCTCTTTCTGAAAGCTTTTATTGTTTTGTGTTCATTTTAAGTAACTTCTAAATCTATGTAATATTAAAAACACTCAAAGAGGAAATTTCTTTGTAGCTTTTACCGAATACTTAAAATGCCTTACTGTAGTTACCAAGCTGACATGTTTTTAATCACACATGGTATATTGAAGTATAATGTATATTGTACTACAAAGATTTGTTCTTATATTTTAAAAAGCCAATGCAAAAAAAAAAAAATCCAACGGAACCTGTGTTGAAGGCTGCAACACAGTATTATTGGAGTCTGAAAAGCTCCGCATTCCTCACTTCTGTGTGTTCTCCCACTGTGACACTGTCGCTGAGGCTGACACAGTTAAGCCACTTGGAGCTGGAAGTTGCCTCCTGCTTTTTGAATTGACAGAGCCTGGAGACAAGACAGAGAAGTGACCTGGATAAAAACATCAGTATGTATTTGTATTAGATAATTTTAAGTTTTGCTTTCCTTGTGCCTTGATTATTTTATTTTGAAAACAACCTGAAGCCATTCACAGACTGAACTACTCGGCGGACTTCGCCAAAAGGGTGTTTCATTCCGTGTCTCACCTGTGATGGTTCTACAGACTGCTCATTTTTAACAGCTTTTGGCATGGGAGAGGAGTGTGTACATTCTAGCACAGCGGTTTATTCAGAGGGAGGAATTCTCAAGATAAATGTAAAGTTGCTTTAAAAATGTGCCTGTTAATTAAACCACAGATTGCCCTATCTCATTCCATGTCTTCTGACCAATAAACCCTATCTCATTCCATGTCTTCTGACCAATAAAAGTTGCTGGAGAACCAAGTCATGGTGGTTCTTAGTGAAGGCTTCTGCTTTTAAGTTAAAATGAGTTTGACTCTAGTGATAAATGTATGTATTCAGTTCCCATAATTTACCAGGTTTTCAGGAAACCCTTAATGCAGATTTTCAGAAAAGTAATTTTCAGTCTTCCTGGAAAAAAAGATTATGAATCCATTTAGCTTTAAAACTAATTGATTTTTTTTTTTTTTTGCAGTTCAGCATTTAATTGAAAATTATATTATGAAACTTGGGGAATTTTTTTAATTGCTTGTGGCTTTCATAAGAGTTGTTGAAAGCTTTGGGAACATTGATGCTTAACAGATAAATATTATGTAAAGAATTTGATGCTAAAATTAGAAACCAACATGATTTGTAACTTACACTGTGACACAGCAAATGGTAGTCCTTAAATTTCTGTCATCTTTGTGTCCTTTGAAGGGACTTTATTTAAAGCACCTGTGAATGTTTAAAAATCTGATGACCATTGTGGAACGAACCTTCTTTCCTAACCCTTCATTTCATGTGCATCTGATCTGTTTGTCCAAGTTATTACTTGGCTACTCCCTCATTGGACTTAACTTCTTAAAGGGTTGCTCTTCTGTTGTTGTGGGTTTTGTTTTGTTTATGTTTTTTTCAGAATTCTAGAGGAATATCAGACTTTACAATTTAAATAAGATAAATGGCTAAACTGCTAGCCTTCACCTTGTAACGTTAGAAAATACCACCTACTTATAGAAAATCTGAATAGAGAATCTTTGTCTCCTTTAAAATAGCGTTTATGTACATTTCTGTTTTTAATGATCGGAGCTCTCAGCGTAACGTACCTCTCTGCCAGCTGACTTCAGCGGTTATCTCCCCTCTGCCAGTCTTGTCTGTACCCTGTTATTTGATGCCTTCATATCTAAAAACATCCAAGGCGCCTGTCAGCTTGCTCAGGATATCTCTCTGATGTATCACACACACTTTAAGAAGTGCATGAAACCACCATTCCATGGAGAATTGGAAGGCTGAGGATGTTGTTTTCCCTGTCTTGGTTTTCCAGTCTTTCATGAAGTGCTGGAGGAGACTTCCTAGTGTGTGTGTGGCTGATCACACTGCAAGTTCTGTTGCCAGGCCCAACGGCACCAAAACTTACCCACTGCCCACAGCTCTGGAAGGTCACTGCCTTGCTCTGCTGGTTGCTGGATGTTTTTTACTTGCCAGTTAGTAACACGAGGCATATTTAGTGTAAATTGTCTCACCAGTACATAGAAGATCGCGTTCTACTGGAAAGAAAACATTTAACTGGTATGCACATGATCCGGATCTTGCATCACTAAGTATAAGGTGGGTGATGTGAGTGTAGCCATCTTTTAAACTCTCAATAATCTTATTGCTGTTACTTCATGTTAAAGATCTTGTCATTGAACTTCTATGAGAACTGGATAATTATGTGTTCTGACAGCTGCTTTAACTTCTTGGTACAACACCCGCTGGCAGACGTGCTCTCCAGCCATTTGCAGCTGAATAGCAACCACGATGGTATGATTAATTCAGGATCAGTTGTGTGTGGCCCTGAAGGGGCACGCCACGCCCTTGCACTGTTTCTGCTTTGTTTGGAACTCATTCGTCACTGGCCATCCCTTGCTTTCTTCCAGGCCTTTGCAGGTGCTCAGTAAGCTTCACCTATAGTCTGCCAGGATGAAGGACTGCTATCCTGTGGCATGCAGTCTAAACCTCCTCTGCTGGGAAGCTCCCTTCCCCCCGGCAGGAACAGGTCCCCCAGCTCCAGTGAGCCTCTCCCTGTTGATCACACTCATCTGTACACTGGCCTTGGGTGTCTACCAAGCGAAGACCTTCCCAGGCAGGACTGCCTAATGTATGCCCAAGGCCTAGAATAAAGGAAGGTCTCCAGTGCTTGTGGAAAAGACAGTTACAAAAGCAATTGTGACTCCAGGCCTCCACTGTCCCTGGATATTTCTATGTGCATCCACTGTGGTATGCCTTAAAAAAAAATCTCACACAAAAAGAAGCCTGTTAAGACACTTATCACACACATGTTGGCCATAGTATACAGCTGAGCCAACCCAAAGCCAGGAGATAGGAGCTTCTTCCAGGTCTCCCAAGCAGCTGCAGGTTCCCAAAGACTTGAGCCATCCTGCTGCTTTCCCAGGCCATAAGCGGGAGGTGGGTCATAGGGGGAGCAGGCAGGACTCAAACCAGCACTCATATGTGATACTGACCTGGAGGCAAAGGATTAGTGTACTCTCCCACCATGCCAGCCTAGGAGCCATTTATAACTGAGAATACCTATCTTCAAGGTGAATTGACTCAATATGAGTACTTCAAAAAGTTCATGGATAAGTAGAACTGTAAGATTTATTCCAGTAAAAAGAAATTTGAAACCCACGCATTTTTTTTCATAATGTGCATTTTCTGGGCATAAATGCAAACCCATCATATAAACAGCCCCGCCCTGTTTGTCAGTGGTAATTTCATTTGCTCCAAAATCACGTTTGTTACAATAGTTGCTTTTTTTAACTTTGCATCATACTTTTCCATCTTTTTTTCCACCTGCGATTGCATTCGAAATGATTTCCTACAGACGTTTTGGAAAATGAGATTTTGCATCAAAATGCTGTAATCTGAAAGTTAATCAGGGTGGGTAAAGAGAACTGTGGTCTGATGCCTTGTCTTTAGAATCGTCATTTGCTTTCAAACGGTTTTTTTAAAAAATATTTAGGAAAAAGGCTATGTCTATGCTTCCAAAGAGAGAACTGATCATTGTGATGTCAAACTGTCAAATACATATGTAGCTTATCACCAATTCAGAATAAAGCCTATTTGTCTTCAGAAACAGCTTTAAAAAATTAGAAATAAATTAGAAAAATAAATTAGAAAAATTTAATGCCGTCTTTAAATTGATGTATCAATACTGTTTATATTTAATATGTTTGGGGTTCTGTCCTTTTGTGTGTGTGTTCTGATTGTTATTTCCTGCTTTCTTTGGGGTTGAATTTAATATTCTGGTTTTGACTGTATCTCTTATATAAAGTCTACTTGGAACAATTTATACCTTGAACTGGAAATTAGAACCCTTACCTCTATCAAGTCCGTTGACTGGCCCCTTTTTCTAGGACAGCTGTCAAACAATTACACTTCTATTCATTGAAAACCTCCTATCACAGGGTTATCTCTTGTTGGTTTCCAACCACCCAGATGTCTTAAAAGAACTTGAGAGAACAAATACTTAGAATTTCTGTTGCTTGTCATTCCCGTTTCAAGTTTCTATTCTAACAGAACAACTTCCTTTAACAACTGCTTTAGGAAAGGTCTGTCAAGTGTCTTAGTTCTCCTTCATGAGAAAATGTCTTTATTTCACCTTCATTCTCGGAGATTTCACCGAGCGTACAGCTCTTAGTTGACAGCTATTTCAACACTTTAAGGAGCCACTTCCTTCACAAGAAATTTCACCATTGGAGCCATAGTTCAGATCCGGCTGCTGCGCATCTGATCCAGCTCCCTGCTAATGTACCTGGAAAGGCAGTGGGTAATGAGGCAAGTACCTGGGACCCTGCCACCCATGTGGGAGACCAGGATGGGAGAGGACTTCAATGCACTTCACCGTCTTACCCATTTTGTTTCCTGTGGCATCACTGTGAGACCATCTGTTGTCCCTGAGGTGTTATGCAACTGTTTGCTCTGGTGTTCAGTCTGGACGTTTTCTATCTTTCTTTGGTCATCTCCATCCTACCATTCAGCCCCTTTGGTGCGATTTTCAGTTACAGCATTTCTTAGTTCCAATACTTTCATTTGGTTCTTTATGTCTCCCTTTAATGTATTAAGACATTGTGATTGTTTTGAACTATTTAATATTTACTTTCACATCTTAATGGCATCTATTGTCTTTTTCCGTATTATTTTCATGGTTCTTCACACTGGAAAAGTTTCAGTTTTATATGCTAAACATGGTGAATGAGATGCAGGCTTTGTCCTGTGGACAAATGTTGATTTTGTTTGTTTGCTTCGTCAGGCAATTGATGAGCTAAATTCAGCCTGTAAGTTTCTTTTTTTTTTTTAAGAGTTACATTTATTTTTACTGAAAAAGCAAATGAGATTTATGGAGGACACACAGAAAGATCTTCCATCTGCTGATTCACTCCCCAGGTGACCAGCAACAGCCAGAGCTGAGCCAATCCAAAGCCAGCAGCCAGGAGCTTCTTCTGGGTCTCCCATGTGGGTGCTGGGTCCCAAGGCCTTGGACCTTCCTCAACTCCTTTCCTAGACCACAAGCAGGGATCTAGACCAGCACCCATATGGGAGGCCAGTGCTGGCAAGGTGAGGATTTATCCACTGAGCCATCACTCCAGGCCCAGCCTGTAAGTTTGAATATGTCTCCTGTTTGTTGGTTCCAAAGTCAGTTTTCAGTGACTGTGCTGTCCACCATGTCAACCATCCCATAATGTCAACATCTCAAAGCCAGAAATTCATACTTAATTTTTGTGGAATCACTTTCCTAACCCATTTTTTTCTACTTTCATCCAGGTACAGTGGAGTTCTTGAGGTCCCTTGTTTTTGGTCCTCCAGCCTGAAACTGTTCACTTCTGCATGAAAAAATAGGGAAAACAGAGTCCTTTCCCCGACCCCAAAGCAGCTCTAGCGGTTCCTTTGTCCTGCTCCCTGGGCTTCCTGCTACTGCACCTTCAGTGCTCACCTCTGGTTCACTGCGAGCTGTGTTCAGACACGGCGACCAGCTCACTGCCCTGTCAATGGTATTGGGATTCTACTGTTCCCATTATATGCACTATTATTCACTTTTCAGAGTCCTCAAACAGCTGTTCAGTGTTCTGTCTAGCTCTTGTAGTTGTGTTGAATGAGGATAAAAGAGCAGACGTTTCATCTTACATTAAGATATTAGGTGAAAAAACTATGTGTATAGCACAAACTCATCTTTATACAAAAAAAATTATGTGTATAATACAATCTCATCTTTATGCAAAAAAATTTATCTCCACAGATAAGTGCTTAGGAGAAGCCTGAAACTTTACATGCAAAATATAACACTGGTTTTGGCCAAGATTATTTTGTTGAGACAGTGTTGAGGGGAAGTTTTTCTTTATACTTACTGTTGAATTTGTTCACCATACACTATTACCTGTATAACCTTCAAAACAATAAGAAAGTATAATAGAAAATTATTTCTATTAATAATAGAGAAAATATATTTCAACTCAAAGTACATACACAGAACTCAACTCTTCCTGTACATGTTAAACATATAATGAAAAACCCATTTAAGAGTCTGTATCATTCATACTCTCTTAGTCTGTTTACACTAATCAGAATTATTTCTCGCAAAACAGAAGTCTTGGCCTTTAATATTAACTTTATTTACACAGTTCCAAGTAAGTGCAATATTAAATATAAGCTAAAAACAATACATAGTTCTTAGAAAACACAACCCCCAAATTCCCATTGCCTGAGCTCCGTGATCAGCTAGTGCCCAGCCTTCATTCTTTGAGAACTGTAAAGTGAACATAGTGCTCAAAACAAAAATTACCTGGGGAAACCTCACCTAACTAGTTCTGTTACCACAAAAGGAATTCAGAGGAGGCCTCTACTGTGTTCGTTCAGATTCCAGAATTTGAAAGTGGAAATAACTATCAGTAGGATCAGCGATGTTTTTTCCATCTCACACTAAGTGACATCCAGGGAGGAATGTGGGACAAAAATCCAGACATGGTTTCTTAGGGCCTAGGGTTTGGTACACTAACTATAGCTGCACTGAATGACTCTGTATTCATTCTGTTGTAAAAGAAATCCACTTCAAATTCAAACATTCGTAAATGACCTGGTCATATTTTTAGGGTCACTTTTTTAAAACTATTACGTAACTGACCAAAGACTATTATAATAAAGACATTTAAGGGTCAGGCACTAGCAGTTATCTGATACCAAACCAACTATAGAATCAATCTGTATAAATATTAGCACCATTTATCTAGTCCAGTTAAATGTACAACTATCCATTAAGCTATTTTTTTTTCTTTTACTAAAGCAGTCAATAAGAAAATTATTTTTACTTTACTTAGAGTATATTTGTCCTCTCTATTTGCTAGTAATGCTTCTGAACATTTTAAGTTTCAAGTACTCTAACAGTCCATTCACAAAGCTTATGCCCGGTACAGAATAATCATTTTAAAGGGATTAGGAAAGGCCATAAAGATTTTCTTAAGACACAGTTAGACAAAATGCATTTTCGGAAATGAAGACTTCCAGTAACTCAACATCTTTCCTTGCTTTTTTCTCGCAATTTTGTTGGTGACCTAAGCAAGCATACCTTTCAGATTACCTCAGTGACCGATCCTGGATGGAATTTCATGACAACAACAGTACATTCGAAATGCCATAAATATGTGCCTACTACATTGTGAGCACATATTTTAGTATTTTAACATACATCTATGTATTAAAATATGCATGGAAGTTCCATGGGGGGAGGAGAACATATATGTAACTACAAGTGCCAAGTATACTAACACCTCCTAAAAAACATATAACAAAATAGATTCTTTCTTATTTGTCATTCACTTTGGTCCAGAAGGGAGCTAGAAACTATTTTAATCTTCCATTTCTGCCTCTAATGTGAAATAAAAGGAACTGCAGAAGGCCTGTTCATGGCAAATGGTTTTGACTAAAAACTTAAAACCAGAATTTTTTTTTTCTTACAGATTTCTGTAGCGTTTAAGTGTCACTGGATTCTCAGTTCCAGTTTTTTTTTTTTTTTTAAACACAAAGAGTAATTTTAAACCATCACTGTCTTTCAAGTTGTCCCAAGATTTAGAAAGATGGTTATTACCATACTAGTCCTTAGAAGGAGAGGGGTGGAAGAGCAGAACCATCAAATGGTTGAAATCTAAACAATTTGGCAAAGGCAATTGTCACACTTTGGAAAAGAAATCCTAACTAAGGGCTGGGACATCAGGCTGGCGGTCACAGTAAGTTCACACTGATTCCGACCTTCCATGTGCCTTTAAACTCATTCATTTGTCATGTTTTTTTAAAAGAAAGGTGGAAAAAAATGGCCATTATTGCCTTCTAAGTTTTTAATCTGTGTCTGAAGTTTTCAATGGTAAGCACATGAAATAAAGTCTGTTTCCTGAACAAAGGAGTTGTGGCTTATTCCTGGTCTGGAGGAAGTAAGTCTCTAAGGCAGTCATCCCTCAGTGTGGGGCCTTGGCTGCTCCCCACGGCCATCCCTCCTTAGACTGTCAGATGCAACACAGACCCTTACAATGAACGGCCAGAACCAAACCTGCAATTTACAGTCAGCTCTACCATCACAATTGCCACACTAATGTGACCCTCAGGTACCTGCAATTTAAAGACTGTAACAACAGATAACACCCAGACTCACCAGAATTATCAACAAAGTTGTTTTGGACAACTTGTTGAATTCCCCTCTCATTAAATACACAGCTCAATGATTGGGAAAGCACTGTCAGTAAAATCACTTACCTCAAAATTATGCGCTTATTCAAACTGTTTTTTAAAATTACTGCTCTTCAGTGTAAGTTTTCAAAGCTTTAGAGCTATCAAATGACATTGTGTGACAATTTTATGTGAAACAAAACCCATTTTTTTTGTTGTAAAAGTTGAATCTCATACTTCAAAGACCTAGAGTAACAATATCAGGGCAGTGCCCAGCCTCATGTCTCACCTGTGCTCCTCCCTCAGGTGCTAGGCTAGCACAGCCAAGGGGCCCTTCTGTTATAACTTACTACTCATCTTTCTCAGGTTAGATAAGACTTGACCCATTTGAAGGAAACCTGTGGATTTTGTTGTTTTTTATAAATCCACTCTTCTACCCACCAAAAGCAAACATGCTCAAGGGAAATAGTACAATTGAAATACAGTTGTAATTATACACGTCCCACTGTTCTGTGACATCCAAGTGAGCAGAGGAGCTACTGAGCAGGAATCCAACCTGAAGTCTGAATTTTACACTTCATCCAGCCTTTGCAGCTAAGTCTGTAGAGGACAACGGGGATGGGGGAGTGGAGGGCAATGCCTACTGGGTATCAGTATCTATCCCTCATTCCCAGTGGACTAAACAATCAGAATTTGCTGAATGTAATTTCAGATGGTAAATTCTAAATGTCATTGCCAGCTATTCTAGAAGGGGCAAAAGTCCACAGGGGCACACAACAAAATGCCAATCTGTCAAGTGACTGATTGCATACTATATATTCTGAAAAAAATAATAATTTAAAAAAATGTAAGTCTTGAATTCATTACTATTCTCAACACATACTGTACTGGCACTTCAATTACTGGAATGTATCTGAACTATAGAGCTATTAAATAATAAGTGCCTAGAAGACAATTTCAAGGGAAAGGGTGACCTCCCCCCCGCCCCCCATCTAGCCCAGGCAGTTCTTAAATGTAACAATGTACATGAAGGTGATGCTGAACTGAAATACAGATAAGTGACATCTAATTTTTCAGGAAGTCCTAGCTGCATCATAAATGGGATCAAGAATGGTGTCGAACATGCCTGACTTGATATTCTTTCACAAAAAGAACTCCACAAAAAGGAAAATAAGTCTTAGGCTACAGTGTGGAAAGAATGTACCAGCTATGGAATATGAAAAGTTATTCAGGACAGGAATGAAAATGGGCTCCACTAGGAAAAGAATACTGAGTGGTAAGCATCTATAGCCATTTAAAGGCATTTGGTGTCAATCTTAAAAGATTTAAGATGCCTTAAAACCCTTGTAAGAATACCAAAGATTTAGGGAATCATCTTCATAAATAATCAAGTGTCTATGGCTTCAACTGTCTGTCCTACTGCTGAGGTAGGTGACCAGTAGTCATCAAAATAAACAATCTTTTGGAAATTCCCTAAGAAAAACCTTGCATAATCAGGTGGTTTCTTAAAACCTATGTCCAGTTTCATTTGATGGTTTTTCTTTTGTGTCATTTACACTTTTCTGTGAGAAGCTGTCCAGGCTACTGTCCTTTAAGCTCTTGCAGAATAGCACCTCATGTACTCTGTCATCCACGGGTTCTCCGAGGAGGCGGGCTTCACCTTGCAGTTCTTCTCCACATCCACAGAGTGAGCACGCTGCCTCTGAGCAACCAGTCTCCGTTTTTCCACCTGTCTTCTGTTCTTGGCTCGTAATGCTGACTCATGAATCTAAGAGAAGTTCAAAAGCAAAAGTCTAATCACTCACGTGGCTCTTGTGCTCTCAACAGCATCTGTACTGACAATCACGACCACCCCCATCCCGTCACCCAAAACAGCATCAAGCTGTCGCTTGCGTAGTTTGCCTGCATGTAAAGACTTCCTTCCACGTGATGCTATGGCTTACCCATTATCTTAGTTCTTAGTTCAAGAAACTAAGCAACAGAACTTTCAACTTCAGACAGAAATGGCAAGCAACTGATTTGTGTGTGCTTCTAGAAATGACACTGGAAAACTGTGAGAGCTGCTTGGCATTAAGCATGGGTACATATTTCATTAAAGAATCTCTAAAGCAGTATACTAAAAACAAGTGTCATGGCACTTCCCCATTCTATTCCTTCCAGTGTAAATCATATTAAAATTAATCCCATGCACTTGTCGGAAATCTTTGGTTAAGCAACAGATCTGTTGTTTCAAATATCACTCCAGATAACACCATCTGCCAGGGTTCAGAAGTCTGTTCAAACTCTGATTACAGTATTTAAATAGAATTCATATAACTTGCAGTTTATACATCTTTTAATGTATCTGTGGCTTTGGGCTATAATAACAGTATTAATGTTAACAGAGACCACTGTTTTTTTATTACAAGACGTGAGGGTCTTCTTGTCTCAAATATTTTCAGGACTTGACACTGGGTGGAAAACCATGGCTAAGTCAGAGGAGCTCCTGGGACTAAAATGCATTGGTTACAAACAAATGGGAATGATGGCAATCTGAATTTAATTGGAAGAGCAAAAAGGTGCCCTATGGCAGATGTGCAGCTATCAACAATCAAACCAAGAACAAAGGAGTCAGGAAAACAACATGTTGTCCAAGACAAAGAAACTGAACCCTCTCAAGAGGCCAGTGGCAAATCCAGACGGACAGCTTCCCAGGACCATCTGTGCTCCTCTGAGAACCCTAACTCCATCCTTTACACCTTCTGGCTCAGTGTCATAGAGCTTTCTGGGTACCATCTAACTCCTAGCAAGGCAGCCTGCTGCTCTCTATGCAAACACCATCCAGAATCCCCATTGGTCAGTCAGTATGGGGCTTCCCTGTACACTGCAGCATCCCTTGAGATCCCTCTGGGCCCATGGCATCCCAGTGGCTGTGGGATGTCTCTCACTGCCAGATGCACAGCCCCAATCTCAGGTAGAAACGCAGCAGCCCAGGGCACACCTCATGCACAGGAGCGGAGGCACAGACATTGTGAGTCTTCTGGCTTCCTGTATCCATCTGTTTTTCTCCCCAGCCATAGAGAGCAAATGGGTGCCTATTCTCTTTTATTTTACTTGATCTTTGGGGACTTTTGGCAGCTTTCCTATTTCCTCTAGCAAATAAGGCACTTGGTTGTTGTCGGGGTACGACACTGGTGGGTAACTTGTCAGTTTCTTTCGTTTTGGTTTGCTGTTCAGGTTTTTCTTCTACGTCTTTCGCTGGCAAGGCTTTTGAAAAAGAAAATGATGCAAATACTTTAAAATCAGATTTACACGTAATCACTTCAAATACTTCAGCAGAACAATCATAATGCTTCTTTGAGTCAGTAACATTTTCACATACCTCTGGACTCAAGTTTCACTTAAAGCAGAAATAGAAACAAGTTAACATATAATTTTCAAACCATTCATTCTTCTTTGAAGTCAACAAGGAACACACCTAGACTGAACCACGCCTATTCAAAGGCAGCTGCTGTGTCATCTTGAGATTTAGTATTCAGTGAAATGCTAAAAGGCAGAAAGCACCATGGCTTCATGGCTTTCTCAGAGACCACCACCATAAATCCGATTATCTTCATGCGCTGTTTCAGGGAAGGATTGGGACCGGTCCCCACCCAGCAGTTGCAGAAGGCAGGTTTTCAAGTTACTCAATTGGAATTCCTTGGTTGGGGAAATATTCCTTATGATCCTCCTCCTTGCAAGAGCTGAGTGGCCACCGTAATTTGAGAAGCCCTCTGTCACAATCCAGGATGGCTTCCGAGGTTACCCCCCTGAATGCAGTTCTACAGGTCCAAGCTAGAGATAAGGGTTCTCGGCAGAGGAAATGCCTGGGAGAAAGAGATCGAAAACTCTGCCTGTGGAACTGGGAAGAAGCTGCTCAACCACGTGGCTGCCTGAAGTGAGTATCTCACTTAGAAGGACCTAGTCAAACACTTTGCAGAAGTATCTCTCTTAACTACCTTTCCAGACTTTGTCATTCATTATTTTGTTTTTATCAAATCTTTTTTTTTTTTTAGTAACATTTTGTTCTTTTACATAAACCTTTTATGAGTCTGTGTTTCCTATTCTGGAATAGCAGCCCTTGTGCAACTAAGTATGCAGAGTTTAGGCCCTAAGGCTCCTCCTCCCTCTCTCTGCACACTAAAGAATTAAGCTGGATGTGATGACTGTAGACTGCAATGCAAAACCTCAAACTATTGCCCCAACTATTTGGTAAGAAAAAAAAATTTTTTTAATTAGTTTTAGAGGCAGAAATAGAAAGAAAGCTCTTCCATCAATTTCCCAATAACCCCCAGCGGCCACGGTGGGGCCAAGGTCAAATCCAGGAGCTGGAACTCATCCAGATTTTCCTCCTGGGTGTCAAGGATCCACATACCTGTTCCATCCCCTTCTGCCTCCCAGAGTGCATTATCAAGAAGTCAGAAATGCAGGCAGAGCAAGGACTCAACTCCAAAGACTTAGACACAGGATCCATATCCTGCCCCACACAGCATCCTCATTGCTGCATCCAGTGCCCACCCACACTGCTTTTAGTTGTGACTCCTCCCTTGCCCATCTCCGCATTCCCTTTAAGGTAGGGCGAACTCCTACATGGGGCAGGAAAGCTAAAAGCAAGCAAGCTAAGCTGCACCCTGCATCACCAGCATCCCATATGAGTGACTTTTTCAAGTCCTAGGTACTCCTTCTAATCCTCCTCTCTGATGAGGTGCCTAGGAAAGCAGCAGAGGATGGTCTGAGCACTTGGTTCCTCACCATCCATGTAGGAGACTCAGATGGAGTCATAGCCAATTGGGGAGAGAACCAGCAGATGTAAGATCTCTCTCTCCCCCTGTGCACTCACTTCCGCACCCCACCACTCTCTTGTAGCTCTGGGTTTCACATAAAATTTTATAAATAGTTTAGAATGGCAGCTACATGCAGGTGGTGGGACAAAGCAGTGTATGGGGAAAATAAAGGCTTGTGTGCCAAATGCATGGGAGTTTATCTGAAAATGATGACAAATTATTGGAGGATTTTCAAGTTCTTTAACTTTTTTTTTTTTTTTTGGAAAGTCAGATTTACAGAGAGAAGGAGAAACAGAGAGAAAGATCTCATGTGTCCAGGGTCCCAAGGCTTTGGGCCACCCTCAACTGCTTTCCCAGGCCACAAGTAGGGAGCTGGATGGGAAGTGGAACAGCCAGGACATGAACTGGCACACATATGGGATCCCAAAGCATGCAAGGTAAGGATTTTAGCCACCAGACTATTGTGCCAGGCACTAACTGAAGGATTTTAAGCTAAAAAAAAAAAAAAATGATAGTGTGGTCCTAATTTTAGGAACAAATCCTCTAGTTCCAAAAGGTGAAGGAAGGGTGAGATCAGAGTGGGGCAGAAAAGCCAGGTACAAAAACAAAATGATCAACAGGCCAAGGGAGTAAAACAGTACTGGGAAAGGTGTAGACACAAATGGGGATCAGAAGGGGACCCACCTCACATCCTGATCAGACCAATGGGAACAGATGTTGAGGAGGCTTCTCACGGAAGACCCTTGGAGGGACAGACACCAGGTGGCATGAAGGGACAAGAGTACATTGGCTCCCACGGCCACGTGAAGGGGACCATCACACTGCCTCTGACACAGGCCCATGCAGAGAGTAAAGGGAACATGACACCCGGAGCCTGAGACACTCCTCCAGCAACCAAGCAGGCAGGCTGTCGGCCTCTCAGCCTGCAGCTCAGAGACTACACCGGAGATGCAGGTTGTGAGAGCGAGCAGAAGCAGAGCTTGCCGATGTGCATCAAAATACTCCAAGGAAGCACAGCCAGAAGAAACGGGCAGTCAGGCTTCAGGAAACACTATTATTCAATGGGCAGCCCAAGAAAGGAGAATGTGAGAGGGGACACAGGGTGGAAAACTAGAAAGAGTAGGAGAAAGAGACATGAGGAAGGAGTCTGAGCGAAGGAAAGAGCAGCTAACAGCACCAACTACTACAACAAAATCTGTACCAAGAGGAGTCACAGACTCACACCTGGAAGCTAGGCTCAGGCACTAAGTGGAGGCAAGGGGGCCGACAAAACATACAATAAAATGAATCCAGAGGGTCAAGAATTTGTAGAGGGAGGACTAAACAAATTCACAAACCTCTTGAAAATTAGATCAAGACAAAGACATAACAAGTGAAAATGGAGGCAGGGGAATCCATTTCTGGTGATGCTGGCATTCAACAGGAATCTCAGCTGCCCCACTTGTAGGCAGCCCAGCTCCCTGCTAACACATCTGGAAAAATGGGGAGGATGGTTCAAGTGCCTAGTCTCTGGCCAGATCCTCCAAAGCTGAACATCCAGCACCAACCAGCACCCCAGTCCACACACAAATTACACTGAGAACAGGGGTCAAGCCATTGTGCCTCAAACCTGGGCAGACCCTTGTAACTCCTGGCAGCTATCTCGGGAGGAGTAGGGTAAGAGCGATGCCATGGGGCTCCCCAAATGGGGCAGAAAGGGCATCCCAGCACCTGCCTGGTATGTGTCTGCACACTGTCCCTGGAACGCAGCTAACATGTCACAAGGCCAGCCAGGTGCATTGGTAGCTCATGCCTGCAAGGTCCCAGCTAAAGCCACCCCCAAGACCTTCCCCACAAAAGCCACAGAGACCAAGGAGTAGACCAAGCATCCTCACTCCCTGGAACCAACATGTGGGCCTCAGAAGCCACAGTGCTGTACTGCTGAGTTCCTAGTCTTCAGGGTAATTTTGCAATGTACTAACCATTACATCTTGTATGTTCCTTCCACTAATCCATCCCGTGGGAGTCAGTCCTTTCCCATCCCAAAAGCACAAGGTTCCTGTCTCAAGAGGGAGCTGGAGAAGGGGCAGGCCTCGGGAAATCAGTTTTGAGAAGACGGGAATGACACCTTCAAAATAAGACTTTGTGAAAGGCCTCGTAGTAAAGAATGAGCTCCATCTCATGTTTTTCCCCATTTCTACTCCCAGGATGCCAGCATGCAGCCTTGGATCCACGAGGCAAAAGACCAGAGGCACACCATCTACAGAAGAGCTCACACAGAGAAACAGGCACAGAGCAATGGTTGGGGTCACCCAGAGAAACAGCTGGATCTTCAGCCAAGTACAGTCAACACACACAGCCCCGGTACGCTGTAGGCCTCTCTCTGAGTCATGCTTGGGCAGGTAGGGCAGAGGCACACACATGAGCACACCCATTACAAGCAGGAGTCCAAAACACACACAGTAAAAGGGCAGAGAACTCATTCAGTTCTCCAGGGATACTGGTGGACATTTTGTTGGTTTGGTTTTTGTTCTGAGTTTTTAAAAAAAGCTAGAATGGTATTAAAACTGAGCATCTGACATGGCTAGTACAAAGCTTGGGATGCCCACTTCTCCTATCACCATACCCAGCCTGGAGAGCCAGCTCCGCTCTCAGGTCTGGATTGCTGCTAAAGCCTGCCCTTGGAGGCAAAAGTGAGGACTCCAACAGCTGGGTCCCTGCCATCCAAATGGGAGACCTGGACAGAGGGCCTGGCTCCAGCTGTTACTGGCACTTCAACCAACAGACAGCTTGCATGCTTGCTTACACGCATTCTCTCTCTCCCCCTTTCCCTCTCTCTCTCCCTCCCTCTGAATACACTTTTCAAATAAATAAGCAAATAAAAATGCTTTAACATAGGAATTAAAGAACACTGAGGACTCAAAATAAAAAGATCCTTTGAAAACTTAAACTAGGGTGGCAGAATTTTAAAATTCAGCAGAAAGTTTGGAAGATAAAATTAGAAAGCTAAACTAGAAATAGAATTTAGAGTTTTGATCTTGAAAGAATACCACATAGCTAAGAATACATACAAAAGGCAAAAATAAAGCAAATTGAGCAGAGGAAAATACTTTTTCACAGTATTAGGAAATATCACTAAACAGGAAGAAGTTTCAATTTTTTTTAAATACCTCAAATGACACCTTTTTTTCCCTAATACTTATTTATTTTTATTGAAAGGACAGATCGGATTTTTTACAGACAAAAGGAGAGACAGAGAAACACCTTCCATCTGCTGGTTCACTCTCCAAATGGCCATAATGGCCAGAGCTGAGCTGATCCAAAGCCAGAAACGAGGGGCTTCTTTCGGTCTCCCACATGGGTTCAGGGTCCCCAAGGACCTGGACCATCCTCTGCTGCTTTCCCAGTCCTCAAGCAGGGAGCCAATGGGAAGTGCAATAGTCAAGACATAAGCCAGCGTCCATACAGGATCCCAGCATTTGCGAGATTTATCCATTAAACCATTACACAGGGCCCAGAATAAATGCATAGCAACACACAGGCACAGCACTGAATTTTAGGACAAATGGATAAAAAGAATATAAAAGGTTTTTTAAAACTCATTAGGCATGGGCCCGGCGCGGTGGCGCAAGTGGTTAAGTCCTCGCCTTGCAACCCCGGGATCCCATATGGGCGCCGGTTCTAATCCCGGCAGCCCCGCTTCCCTTCCAGCTCCCTGCTTGTGGCCTGGGAAAGCAGTGGAGGACGGCCCAAAGCTTTGGGAACCTGCACCCGTGCGGGAGACCCGGAAGAGGCTCCTGGCTTCGGATCGGCATAGTATCGGCCCGTTGCGCTCACTTGGGGAGTGAATCATCGGACGGAAGATCTTCCTCTCTCTCTCTCTCCTCTCTCTGTACATCCGCCTTTCCAATGAAAAAAAAAAAAATAAAAAAAAAAAAAAAAAAAAAAACTCATTAGGCAGGGGAGTAAGGGAAGCCATGGCACAGTAGGCTAAGCTTCTACCTTTGGCCACCAGACATCTCATATGTGTGCCAGTTCAAGTCCCGCTGCTCTACTTCTGGTCCAGCTCCATGCTTATGGCCTGGGAAAGTAGCAAAGGATGTCTCAAGTGCTTGTGCGCCTGCACCCACATGGGAAATAGAGAAAGCTGGCTAGACTGGCTCAGTGCCAGCCCTTGCAGCCACCTGGGGAGTATACCATTGGATTGAAGATTTCTTGCTCTCCATCTCTCTTTCTCTCTGTAACTCTGCCTTCCAAATAAAAGTAAAATAAATTTTAAAAAATCACATGGGATCAGGTATATAAGTCAACCTGTTACCTGCTGCTTCTCAACAGCAAAACCGAAAGCTAAAAATTCAGTGCAATAAAACACATTCCAAGTCTGGGTCTTCTCATTCAGAATTCTCCAGATTCCCAAAATATCAACTTAGGCTTTGTATCTAACAGGCATGGCTTTGTATCTAACAGGCATCTTCAGATATGCAATGTCACAAAATTTCTGCTTTTGGTACACTATTCTGCAGTGCCTACAAAATATATGCGGCACCAAACAGCAGGAATAGGCCAAAGAAAGGTTGCAATGTGAAAGGCAGGAGACAGGATAAGAGAAATGCCTTCTCAGGCAAGCAGTGAGGACCAGGTGCAGTTTAGCAGCTCTGCCACATCAGAGCATCATAAAGTCTAGATTGGAATAGAAAGATCAAGGTCTCCAAGGGGAAAAAAGGTGAATCATAGAATATTTGATGTGTCTGAAATATAACTAGCTTTTCAATTTGACTGAACTGGTGACAGAATCTTTTTGAAAGCAAAAGAGTGATAGCAAAACAATGATTAACTTCAAGAAAAACATAAAATATAATGGAGAAAAACATTAGGATATGCTACATGACTCATCTGCAAATACACAGAGAATAAGAATTACACAAAGCTCTTGTAGCTAACATCATAAGGATACAGGGGAGGAGAAATGGGTGTCAGTGTGTGCCTGGGGCGGATTGGGAGGGAGGTTAGAGCTAACACCTTGAGCTAAACCCCATCTCTCCTAAAGGGAAGTCAATTCATAACATTTAAAACGTAAAGAGAGAAGAGGGCAGCCATTGTCAAAAGGAATGCAGAGAGGAGCAGGAAGGAATGGAGGGCAGGGGTAGGAAAAGAGGCAGGAGTACTATTTTTTTGTTACTGTTTTAAGCAAATTTTCAAGACTTAGGCACATGTAAACATTGCTAAAAATAAAACTTTATTTTAAAAGGAATGTAACTATGTAGAAAGGAACTGGAGACAGTCTAGATCATTCTTCAAAGCAAGTTGGTTATAGGAGGGAAAGAATTCCACAAATACTCCCACCTTCAGACCCCCAAGCACACACAAGCAGGGAACTTTGCAGCACAGCTCAGTGCCCATCCCTTAAATAAAACAGAGAAGCTGAGAGATCCTTAAACATTTGGAAAAAAAAAAAAAAAACACAGTATCCAATGTGAACTACAAAATTACAAGCAAAAAGAAACAAAAGCAGAGATGGAAAGAGAAACAAACAAACCATTCTTACCAAGCAGAGAAACATTCCAGAAGTATCCTCAGAAGAAGATACTATAAGTGTGAAGCAAGAAACAGATACTTAGTTTTAAAAAGGCATAAAAATGGAAAGTGTGAAGGCAGCCCCAGACATCAATTCAAGAATTGTTGAATTTTAAAAAGTAATAAACAGGATCCCAGAAATGAAAAATGCTATTGAAGACTTAGAATATACGATTGAGAATAACAAAGAGGGAAAAGGATGTAAATGGGAATGGAAGGGTACCCAGGGTAGAAAATTAAAGGTTAAGTACATGGAGTCTAATATCCAATTGAAAGCTTCAGGTAAAAAGTATTTCTCATTTCTGTGAAAATAATTCAGAAAAACTCAGAATTAAGCACACAAGTCTGATTGTGGGGATCTACCAAGGGCCCAGTACAGCAGACATAAACAGGCCAAAATCCAGAGCACAGAGCAATGGAAGCTGATCAGGAGGAAGCTTTCTCAGATTAGCTACCAAGGATCCAGAATCAGGAAGCTCAAAAGTTACACCCAAAACACCAAGGACTCCTGATGATTGACACAATGACCTTCAACCCAGAATCCCACATCTCATTAAGGGGGCGGAGGGAAGAAGGTAAACCAAGCAGGAGGACCAGAAAGCCACACAACACACAACAGAATTCAAAATCAGAAGTCGCTGAGATAGTGGCCAAGTACCCTTCCAAGATCCTAAGCAGGCCAGGAAGAAGTAGGTCAGAGGCCCCGGGAGGGCAGCCTAAGGATGATGAGAGCGATAGAGGACCTGAAGTGTGGGTTACGTTGTGAAAGAAAGACCAAGGACTTCTGGGAAGCAATGTAGCTCAGCTCTGAGTAACACCCCATAGGCACAAGGCCCTAGCTGCCACCTGCTAGGGCTGGCCACTGCTGGCAGAGCGGGTAAGGAGAATAAAGGGAACTCAGTCAATAAATCACGGAAAAGACTGAAAGACAGAAAAAAAAATCAATATAAGCCATGTCACTCAGAGATATAAAAAGAAACACTAAAGGAAAAGTCCAAGCAATGTAAAGTGATCAGCAAGAGAGCTCTGGCTTTCTGCAGTAACTAAGCGTGCATACCTCAGGAGAACAACAAATGCAAAAGAGTAGTCATCACCCTAGTAGATGAAATCACCTACTTTCACCTTGCCCAACACAAGAATCAAGACGGACTTGGATAAGTAAGGGGCCAGCAAAAGCTCCTGGCAGCTGTCAGCACAGACAGCAGAAAACATCCCTTCTTCCCCCCCATGCCTAAAGCACAAATGTCAGCAGAGAGCAAGCAGCTACAGCAGGTGTCTGGGTGCGACTGGTTAAGCCAGGGCTGGGACATGGGAATCCCATCTTGGAGTACCTGGGAATGAAGTCTCGCCTCCACTTCCCATCCAGCCTCACGCCACCAGGGAGGCGGCAGACGACAGCCTACGCACTCTGATTCCTACCATCCAACAGTGAAGACCTGCATGGAATTCCTGCTTCTTGGCTTTGGCCTGGCCCAGATTTGCCAGTTGGAGGGTATCTGGGGAGTGAGCCAGAGGGTGGAAGATCCTGCTCTGTTACTTTGCTGAAACACTGCCTGAAAGCCGTCTGGGGACTCCTTAATAAACAACGAAGGGAAAGAGGAGGAATACAGCCTGTGCCTTCTGCTCAAGAGGATCTCATAATTTAGCCCATAGCTTCGTGCCCATGGAATACTCTGGAAGGCCCAACTCCCCACCCCTCCACCTTCTGTTATCCAAATCTCCAGCAATGCTGATTTACGCCATCAGGCACCAGTGGGAATTCACAAGTTCCGCGGTGATGGGGAGACAGCTCCGCCACAGCTGAGCTGCGAATAACCCAATATGGCATAAGCGAGAGTACAGCAAACCGACTCACAAGCGAAACTTCGCTTCCTCCACGGCATCTCAGAGACCCTAAACAGGTCTGCCCGACTTACAAAAAAAAGGGTAAACAAGATGTCACCCATCATTTATCCTGGGCTTCCATTTCGTCATCTACCAAAAAAGGGGAAGGGAGCAAAAAACGGGGGTCCTACGTCTGAGCGTGGTGGTACATGTTTACGGAAAACGATACCGAAAGCAGCCGCTGTCACTAAGCGTCAGTTGTCGGTCTCTCGAGCACCTGCTTAGAAAAACCGGAGAGCCCGTGGTGGCGGGAAGGAGCAGGTTCACAGACGCCAGTCCAGGTCCACGGACGCGCAACCCTCTCCAGGGACAGCGTGGTGAGCTCAGGCAGCTCATCCGGAGCACAACGGCCTCATTCAGAAGGCAGAAAGCTTAGCTGCGTGGCTCTCCACCCGCTGGGTCACCATCAAGAAAGTGATGAAAGCAGGGGTTCTGCTTATCGGAAACGGGCGCTGAGAAACCCATGGAGGTCAGCGCCGCTCCGGTGCGAGGGCGGGGTGAACAGCGAACCAGGGCGGCGGTGTCGCCTTCCGCAACAATCCTCCCACTCCCACCTTCACCCCCTTAGCAGCCTGCCCGAGCGGAGTCACACCCTGCCAACCCAGAGACCCTCTCGCAGGCCCTGCCCCGGAGCCCATACCTGGCACAGCCGCGTCCTCCGCTTCCACCGCCTCGGCGCACCCGGCCTCCGCGCCCGGCTCCTCCGGGGCCTCGCGCGCGCGCCGCGCCGGCTCCTCCCGCGCCCCGGACTGCGCGGGCGGCGGGGGCGAGGCCGGGGCGCAGCGGGGCGCGGGAGGCGCGGGGCGGCCTGCGCCCGACGAGGCCGACGACGCCGAGTCGTCCGAGCCTCCGGCAGGAGCCCAGTCGTCCCAGAGCCAGGGCGCGTGCGCCTGCTCCAGCAGCCGGCGGCCCAGGCGGTAGTGCAGCAGCTCCCGGTAGCACGGCCCGTACTCGTCCCAGCGCGGCTCCTGGTAGCGCTTCATGTACTCGCTCTTCACCCCGCTTCCCGGGGACATGGTGGTGGTGGTGGTACTGCTGCTGCTGGCCTGAGCGTCCGCCGCACCGCGCCGCCGCCTCCTACGGGGCCCGGGACTCGACACAGAGGCCCGCCCCTCGGCCGGTCCGACCCGGCCCGCCGCGACATTTAAACCCGGAGCCCCGCCCGGCCGGGGCGGACGGGGGCGGAGAGGCGGGGGCGGAGCGGCCCCGACGGGAGGCGGTGCCCCGCGGTCGGGTCCAGGGCCGGGTTTCCGGACTGGGCGCCCGGGAGAGGCGGCGGGGGGCTGGGGTCCGCGCCAAGGGACCGGGGGTGGGTCACCCCGGAGAACGGGCCCGAGAGGCTTACGGGCCGGCGCGGCCGGGAGGTGGGAGATGAAGCGGGCGCTGTTGCAAAGGCCGGAACCGAGTGGTCCCGGGATCCCCGGAGCAGCCCTCCCGAGCAGTGCTTGTGGGCCAAAGGGGCGGTGGGCGACCTTACCTTCCTCCTGCAGCACCGCCCGGCGACCCCGCGGCGCCCGCGGATCCTCCGCGCACAGGCCCGCGACGCGCGTGGCGCAGCAGCTCTAGCTCGGCTTGCTCTCGGCCGTGCTCTTCTCTCCTGCTGGGTGTCGCTGGTTACACGGCAGCCCGCGTTCCTGCGGCAGCCGGCAGGCGAAGGCGCCGCCTCAGTCCCGGGAGCAGACGCCTCCCCCGCGCGCTCCGGGCCCCGGGCCCTCCGCCCCGCTCCGTGGGGGCGGCTGGTTTTGTGCACAGCGGGGGGGAGCCAGGGTGCGGGCGAGTCTGCCAGTCTGGTCCCACCCATTCCCCCAGCAGGTGCTGCCCCAAGCCGGTGTCAGTCTCTTTTGGAAGTCTACCGATGCTGTGTCCCTGTGTTTGCAACACCTGCTTCCCTGGCTTTCATCCGTCTGGATGTTGGAGTGCAAGTCCTTGTCTGTGTCCGGAATCGCTTTTGAAGAAAATCTACTGAAACCCTGCCTCTCGCTCCAAGTCCAGTCCGAGCACAAATACAGTTGCAAGGAAGAATACAGTGTTGCCCTGTTTGTTGTTACAGTTTGAAACACCTCTTCCTTTAAAAAGCAGGGAGGGGGAGGAAACCAATACAGTAGTTACAGAAAGACTTAAAAGAAGTTTTGAAGAATCAGAACATGCTCAGCAGTGAAGAAGCAGGCCCAGGCAGGCCCTTCTGGCTGCCATTCTAGCGTTCTCTGGTTTTACCTTTTTCTTTTTTTTAAAGATATATTTGCTTATTTGAAAGGCAGAGTTAAAGAGATGGGATGGGGAACACAGATTTTTCCATCTATTGATTGACCCCAAATCGCTGCAAGAGGGGAGGAGATTGAGGCTAAGAGGGTGTGGAGGAAGGGTGGAGGGACAAATCCAGGAATCCAAGCTTCGCGAGTGCCTGGCACGTAGTGCAAGGACCCAAACACTTGGGCCATTGCAGCTTTCCCAGGTGCATTGGCAGGGAGCTGGATAGAAAACAGAGCAGCCGATGCTCCTGCAGGTGCACCTATGGCATTCTGGTGCCCACAAAGCCATAACACCTGTCCCTCACCTCTTTTTTTTTTTTTTTTTATTTCCACCTCTGTGTCCACGTCCTTTCCTTCTTATCCTACCCTCCATCTTAACTAAGACCCCAGACTGTCTCATGAGTACTGGAATTACTGGCCCAGGGGCTTCAGCTCTGGGGAGAGTTGGGGGCACCCCCATGCCTGGGGCTGCTGTCTCCACAGAGGCCCTCCCTCCCACCTCTTGCTGCTCTGCCTTAGCACCTTGGCATGTGGCAGGAACATTTTAATGTGATCTCTCTTTAGGTGCCCTTCCTCTCTCTATTTAGTAATCTCCTTTGCTAGTGCTCCTACCTGCTGCTTCACTCCCCAAATGCCCACACGTCGAAGGGAGCCAGGAACTCAGTCCAGGTCTCCTACTTGAGTGTCCAGAACAGATCCCTGCCTTCCTGCAGTAGTAGGGACCTGGAGCCAGAGACTGAATCCAGTCATTATCATGCTGAATGTAGGTGTTACAATGAGCATCCTAACCATTGGCCCAAAATCCTACCCTTGGGGCTGGGTTCCAATGTTTGCAGTCTAAAGAACAACACAAATACTTAATAATGAATTTAAAATAGTAATGTGCAAATTTTCTGAGAAACACAGGACACAATCTGTTTCAAGAACTTTTGCTGCATAATTCACTTCCAAACCTAGTGGCTTAAAACAACTAAGATTTAACTTAAATAGCACAATGATAGACTTGTGACTGTTGCTGAAGGACTATACTATTGTAATAATATGGAGGAAAACTGTGGTGGGGCTGGAGAATGAGAAGGATGGAACAGGAAATCCCTGAGCCTATGGAACTGTATCATGACAAATACAACTTTTCTTTTTAATTAAACAACAAAGATTTAATATTCCTCCTGCTCTCAGGGTTAACTGAGCAGTCTCTCAACTGTTGCATTCAGATGCAGGGCAAGTTGGTCTGGAAGCTTCAAAATGGCCTCGCCCATGAGCCTGGCAGTCAAGTTGACTGTGAGCTGGACTATCTCAGCCTCATCCTTCAGAGGGCTGGACTGGCCTCTGAAGCTCACAGATGTCTACTGCTGAATTGTAATGGTCAAACAAGCCACAGGGCTAAGCTTCAAGGAGGAGGGAAATAAACTCCACCTCTGCAAAGGAAGAAAAGGAAACTCATATTACAAAAGGGCTGCTGTCTAGATGGGAGAATTTGTGACCTACTTTTTCAATCTATGACACAATCATACACACATGTGCAAATAGGATTCTAGGATATATCCTCTTTTATGCAAATAAAATAGACGAGTCTTTTCTTTTTACTTGTCCCTATGTTCCATAATTAAAATGCATGGGTGGGCTTGGAACAACAGCTCAGTTGGCTAATCCTCCCCCTTCATGTGCTAGAATCCCATATGAGCAGCAGTTCATGTCCCAGCTGCTACACTTTCCATCCAGCTCCCTGCTCGTGAACTGGGAAAGCAATGGAGGATGGTCCAAAGCCTTGGGATCCTACATCCATGTGGGAGAGCCAGAGGAGGCTCCTGGTTCCAAATAGGCTCAACTCTGGCCATTGTGGCCACTTGGGTGTGAAACAGCAGATAGATCTTTCTGTCTCTGGTTCTTTCTGTAGATCTACCTTTTCAACTGGTGTGTGCTTCAGATACAACATCAGACATGCAACTTCACACCTGTCAGTGAAGGAAAGCAACAGAAAATGGCTCAAGTGCTTGGGCCCCTGCACTCATGTGGGAGACTTGCAGGAAAATTCAGGCTTCTGGCTTCAATAATCGCAGCCATTTGGAGAGTGAACCAGCAGGTGAAAGACACCTCTCAGTCTTTCCCTCAGTCTTTCTGCAATTTGCCTTTCAGATAAATTAAATTAATAAATAAAACTTACCAGTGACTGGGTCTGGCCAGCCACGGAACAGGCAGCCTATCATGGCAGGCACCACACAGGCTGTCACAGTCAAGGTGAATGGTTGGACTTCTCTCCATTCCCATACTGTGTTGGCCTCTGTCTCTACCGTTGCCTCAGTGGCCCCTCCCATCATATTTCAATGTCCTAACCTTCTGAGTCAGGGAAACCTGTCCTCTAAAAAATAAATTCCTCCACTTCATCCTTCTTTCCAGAAGAAACTGCTGCTTCCACTCCTACCACACAACACTCCAAGAGCCCACTTCTCACTTTCTCTCTCTCTGTCTCTCTCTTTCTCCCCTCACACAAATATACCTAGGAGTCCCCTATTGACTCAACACCTTGTAAATCCCCTTCCCAGCCTACAAACTGGAAATGCTAGCTCTTTCCCCCCAGCTTCCCTTGCAGCCATGATACAGTTATGGGACTTAAACTCTACTCATCAGGAGTCCTGCCCACACATTAAACCAGACTCTACTGACACATAGAATCAAGGACCAGGAAGATTGAAATGCTGCTTTCCAGCCTGGGGTCCTAGGATAGCAGTAGTCACAGTGGGCAGGGAATACCAGCATCCAGAGCAAGTGGTTTTAGAGGTGAGGCACTGTGGTATCTGGCACCCCACAGGGTGCAATCTTGTTTGTATTCTTCCTCTTAGAGCTTCAGCCCTTCCAGAGAATCTAGAACCTATCTCCCCAACCATTAGATGTATGTTTTTCCCCCTACTAAAATCAGCCAGAATTGATATTTGCAATGTACCAGCAAGCACTTTATATTATACACAGGGCTGGCCTATGTCCTTTTTCTCAGACAGTCATCCCCATTTCCTGGTGGCTTCCTATGCCTCTCTTCAAACGCAGGTCTCCATTCTTGCCTCGCTTCTCTTTTCGCCCCCTCTGCATGACCCCTGCCATCAGTACCTCAAGCTTGAGTTCCTCTCTGGAGATCCAGGACACCTTGTGCACAACTTGCAGATGCTTGTTCAATGCTCATGCCTACCTCTTCTTAATCCCATCAATTCTTTCTTCTACATTCTGAATTTCTATGAATGGCATACCTGTCTCCCAAATACAGGATCATCAAACTCATCTCTGAGATGTGCAATCATCTAGCTCCTATAAGGCCTGACAGAGGGAGAAGTCAGGGTCCACACAAGGCTCTGCAGCCACGGCAGGCCTGAACTCTGCACTGTCCAGCACTGCCCAGCCCAGAGCTCCCAGAGTGATCCACATTGTTATAGCAGTGCAAAGACAAAGAACTTGTAAGGCAATAAACAGTTGGGGAGGGCCTTTGGCTGTTAAGCTGCCATGACAGCATATGTGGGTTGGAGTCCCAGTTTCCTGCAGATGTAGAGCCTGTGAGACAGCAGGTGATGGCTCCAAGAACTGGATCCCTGGCACCCATGTGGGAGCTCCCTGCTTCCAATTTGGACCTGGCCTAGTCCAAATGCCAGCTACAGCAGGCGTTTGAGGAGTGAAGCAATGGATAAAACCTCTTTCTGTTCTGTCTCCAACCCCCCTTCTTCTTTTTCTCAAATAATCAAAATAAATGAATACAAATTTTCTTAAAGAAGGAGAAGAAATCCAGTTCATGGGATATAATCTATCACATACCTGTTCTTTAAAAACAAATAAAACAAAACAAAAAACTAC